TACATATGAATGGTCATCCTCATTCGCATTCAAATAACAAAAGATCCTAATGTAAACAGAACTTACTGAGTAAAATATGCTAGCTCTAAAAGCCTGGAAGATACAACTTTAATATTATAGTGTGACAAAACTACCACTAAGAAAATTGACTTAATGTAAGACATTAAGAAACTTGATTTTATTAATAATACCATTTAGCATATAGAAAATGTTTAACCTGTGCATCATACTCTCCTGTGTGCTATATATTAATTACCTACTTTAATCATCATAGCAACCTGTTACTCATTTCACAGCCTGGGAAAGTCAACCAAAGAGGTTAAGTCATAAAGTAGGTGGGGAAGAAAACTTTTACTCTACCAACTTAGAACTAGATGGAGGGGATGGTGTGACAAATTAAATGACAACAGATTAACAGGAGAAAAGTTCAAGAGTACTCTGTAAGGAATGGATTGGCCGGGGTAAGGGTTTATATACTGTGTATTATGTCAACTCATTAAAAGGAGAAAGGAGGGGCATAGGGTTTCTAGTGAAAACGTGCAGGATGGTAGCTTCTGATTAAGTTTTGTTATACAATTTCTCCCGGCTGAGAGCTTCCCCAACCCCGTCAATCACCCACTCCCATTCGGGGTATTAATGGCAGCTTCATTCTCAGAAAGTTTTGCCTTTAATCACATAAGGGAAGCTCAGAAATGCTTCTTTCTGCATCGCTCTATCTTAAATATCTTCAGTTTAGGGTAATCATTATGCCATTCTGGTGGGTTGTGGGTCCCTTCGTGTGAGACCATGCACAGTTAAAACTCAAACCTCGTGCTGCTCAGCTGGTGCTGGTTTATCTGGACCCATACCTCTTGAGATTGAGGCATCGGCTTGCTGGTGCCTCTGGGGAAGGCAATGCAAAATGAAGTTTCTCTTACAAATGTTAGGAAAACTGCAAACTGGATTCTGTGTGTGCGTAGCAGTAAATGGAAAATAGAAGACAGTGTGGATGTAAGGGTGGTCTCATTTATCACTCTGCAATCCTTCCTTCCCCAGTGTTAGGAATTGCTAGCCCAGGAAATAGTCATTTTGGGAATCAAGAAAGGGTAAATTATTGAATACATTTTTCAGAGAGACTAACAGAATGTAAGCTACTTTCCCTGTTAAAGCATATTCAAGTTTAAAAGCACTATTTCTTTGAAAACTTTCCCTGAAGATAAACTCAAGTTTATTTTAGAATTTCTAGAATGGGTGAAAAGGAATGATTCATTTTCTGATTCTTTTTCTATTTTCCCAGTTCCATAGACATCTGTTTTCCTAAGCAGAGGATTCATTTTTAAGACCTTCCCTAGGCATGGTTACTGAAATCCTAACCAGAAGTTTCTATAAACACAACCCTTAAAAGACCACTAATTTCTTTCAGCCATATCTCAAGAACCTTGAGCAAGGGCACAGACCTGCTAGCCTTTTCCCTTTGGTTCTCTTATATATGTCTCCTTCTTATTCTGTCTGCTCCAGCGTGATAAGAAATTTGGTTATTTTTTAATTTTCACTGTTCTAGTCTTTAATAATCCTATCGCCTTTTAGAATTCAGACCTACTGTATTTAGATAAATGTCACTAGCTACAATATTGTCACTGTTACCAATGAGATAGAGGCTACCATAGAGTGTCTCATAAGTTTGTTCATTCATTCAATAGAAATTTATTGAGTGTTAAGTGTTGGGCATATAGAAGTTAATATGTATGGCAAGCATAAAGAAGTTAATACATATCGAGCATACAGAAGTTAATGTACATGGCAAACGTAGTAATTCTTTTAATCTTGGCACCACATTTTTTTTTTCTGTTTTTTAAAGTCAAAGTTTTGATCTGTTGCCCACGCTGGAGTGCAGTGGTATGATCTTGGCTCACTGCAACCTCCACTCCCGAGTTCAAGTGATTCTCCTGCCTCAGCTTCCTGAGTAGCTGGGACTACAGGTGCATGCCATTGTGCCCTGCTAAATTTTTTTTGTATTTTTAATAGAGACAGGGTTTCACCATGTTGGCCAGGCTGGGCTTGAATTTTCAAAACCCATCCTCAGTAATTTTTCCCCATAAAACAATATACTGGAAAAAGAGAATCATAATAAAATCACAGCTGGGTGTGTTGGCTCATGCCTGTAATCCCAGCACTTTGGGAGGCTGAGGTGGGCAGATCACGTGGTCAAGAGATTAAGACCATCTTGGCCAACACAGAAACCCCGTCTCTACTAAAAGATAAAAATTAGCTGGGTGTGGAGGCACGTGCCTGTACTCCCAGCTACTCAGGAGGCTGAGGCAGGAGCATTGCTTGAACCCAGGAGGCGGAGGCTGCAGTGAGCCAAGATCACGCCATTGCACTCTAACCTGATGCCTGGCAACAGAGCAAGACTGTTTCCAAAAAAAAAAAAAAAATCACTAGCTAGGAAATAAATTCCATGCCAATCAGAACATTCTAGATGGGGAGCTCACAAGCAACAGAGAGATAAAAAGACATTTGGCACTAAATTGTAGTCCAAATCTGTGAGCCCTGGAAGAGTGTAAGTCTAAGACACAGAATCTGATTGGATTTATATAGAATGTTCCAATTAGGTCCTAGGAAAAGATTAAAAATGTCAAATCAACTTTTACAATTTCTTAAAAGATGGTTAGAACCAGCCTGCCTGGATTTTAACACTGAGTTTATCACATACTAGGTGTGTGGCCCAAAGCAAGTACATGTTTTCGTGCCCTCAGTTTCATCACCTCTAAAATGGGAACTACAGCCTCTCACGGGATTATTATGAAGTTTAAATGTACATAATTCTTATACAAATATTTAGCATAGCCTCTGGGGTCTCACTCTGTCACCCAGGCTGGAGTGCAGTGGCACAATAACTCACTGCAGCCTTGAACTCCAAGGCTCAAGCGATCTTCCCATCTCAGCCTCCCAAAGTGCTGGGATTATAGGTGTGAGCCACTATGCACAGCATTAGTTAGTATTTTAATGTTACTGTTATATTGCTAAACACAGCTCATGGGAATTTTTTGATATAAAGAAAAAATGTGGGAAGACATGTTGATCTCACTATTGATCATATGTAGGAAATTAACTAGATTTTTCACAAACCACATAGCTTAGGCCTCCCTACTACTTAGACTATACTCAAGCTCAAGCTTTTTTAGGGGAGAAGTAAGCTTTTTAGAAACCTAAGTGGTGCCAGAAAATGTCACAAAATACGTACCAGCATAAAAATATACCTAATATTTCTAGATAAAAAGTTTAATCTATGAAATGGTCAAAATCAAATTTTTGTGAGCTGTTTTCAATCCTATGTCCAGCATTTTCTCCCTTCTAAGTTCATCTTCAGATTTAATTAACAATCAGTTTCTAATCATTTATAATCAAGTCTAGGTGAAGATTTTTAAAGTTGACTTTAAAAAATCTCGTAATTGTTTTTAGGAAACATTTGTCTGCTCCATTATAACTTCTCTTCAGTTAGAAACACAACTTACAGGCTGGGTATGGTAGCTCATGCCTGTAACCCCAGCACTTTGGGAAACCCAGGTGGAAGGACTGCCTGAGCCACAGGAGTTTAAGACCAACCTGGGCAACATGGCAAAACCTCATCTCTACAAAAAAAAAAATTAGGTGTGGTGGTGGTAGTGGTAAGCACCTGTAGTCCCAACTACATGGGAGGCTGAGGTGGGAGGATCACCGAGCCCAGGCAGGTCAAGACTACAGTGAGCCGTGATGGTGCCACTGCACTCCAGCCTGGCCAGCAGAATGAGACACTGTCTCAAAAAGTAAATTAAATGGAATTTATGGTGGTAAAGTTCAACATCTTGTCAGACAAAGACTGCATGGTTTCTGGAAAAATCAAGTTTCTGGGACTATTTCTAAATGGAATCTAGATGATGGTACATTGATACAGAGTTATATTTACAGATGTATTTCTACATTAATAAAGTAAAGCGTAATATCCTTTATAAATTAGTGTCAAGCCTAAGCCAGACACAGAAACCTGAATTCTGTACCCACATAATCAACAGTCTATGGAAACTCTAGGAACCATGCCACTAGTCTCGAACCTAGCATAGTTGAGAAGTGACACATTTTCTTTTAAGAAGCATTCATCCAGGAAATGAGTGGGTCACAAAGCAAACCACTAAAAGGTCCATAACTTGTTTTATGAATGAAGAGTATAAGGTACTAGCCAAAGGTACAGCTCCCTTTTAATTTCTCATTTTTAGTTTTTATCATGGTGATGGATAGATATAATAGAACTCTAACTGGAAAAAAGTAATCATGTCAGCCATAAGGACATTGTCCATGTCATCTCATAATTGTTTTTAATCAATTTTTCTATATTTTCCCTATTTCAAGATCAGATCTTTCCACCTGCCCCTCCCCAATGAAAAAGAAAAGAGAAATCATAGACAAGAAAATACAAAGAAATGGCAGACAAGAAAACACGAGCTAATCAATTTTATTCATACTACCCACAAAAAGCAATTACATTTGTACATAAAATCATTAACACATACAACAATAGAAATCGTAAGAGTAATACACCTGATTAGAAATACAATATAGGAAATATTTTAAAATAGCATACTTTAGTGATGAAATTTATACTGTTTTTCTACTTATTTATAGCAGCATCTGTAAGATTCTATTTATTTGTTCATAGTTGACTAGCAGCAAAATATTTTAAATTACAGAAATTCAGTAGATGTTTCCCTTTAATGTTTCATTGATACAGAATATATCACATTAACCAAACAAAACCCTTCTATTTCCTGAAGAGAAAAGGTGGGAAAAGAATAGTTCTGTTACCAGCTCCCCAAAAAGAGAAGAAACAAGGGAGAAAGGATGGAAGCTAGAAATATTTTGCAAGCAATTACTAAAAAATATATTCTCAACCACCTTGACCAATTGTAGGTAGATTTTTGTGAAATCTACATATGTGTGTGTTAGTGAAAGTTATGTTAACTTTATTTTCTGACTTTATACTGCAGTTGAAAAATATGTGGAAATTTCCAGGAGGCCTGTCAGAACCTGGAGAAGATATTGGTGTGTATCTTCCACATTTTTAATGGGCTTGAAAATGTTGAGGAAATTAATGTGTTTACTTTCTTGCTCTATAGCTAAGAATGAAAATTGAAATTTTCTAATTTGTTCAGACTAAGTCAGAACATTTCAGAGATTACCTCAGAGCTGATGAAATTAGCAGCCTAATTTCTAACATTACAATTTACTCCATTAATAGAAATAATATCATCAGGAACATACTGCCTGTTCTTCTATTTATGACTGCTTCTGGATTAATTTGTCTGAAAAGGAGAAGCTTTGGCTATACATCAGTAAAGTTTAGCATTAAAAGTTATTTTGGATATAACTAATATTGTTGTTGGAATTAAACTATGAGAAAACACAAATTCCTGACCATTCTATCACAGAGGATGAACACTAGCTTTTAAATGAACTTTGAAATAAACATAATAAAAGTCAATTATAGAGAAGTGGTGATGTAATTCTTCTCTTTATGAAAACTGTATGTACTATTTATTTCTAATAGGAAGACAAAAACATAGTAAAATGTCACATAAGAAAGTCTCAAATGAGAAATAACTCCCTAATACTAACTTACTGAGCTCAATATTTAAGACAGGGAAATATAAAATAAGCTAAGAATTCTTTATGTCATTGATTTACAGAAAATAGAAAAATAGAAACTGAATTTTCCTACCTATTCCTTAAACCATTGGATCAAATTCAATGTGTATCATAACAAATCAATATATTTGTTTGATACCAATATTATTTCTCCATGACCTTTTCCTTAGTATGCACATCCACTATTCTATTTAGCTAACAATCATATTAAGGCAGTTTTCTAAGTTGTCTTTAAAATTTTTATTTAAAAATGTCTATGCACTCAAAACTTGATTTTTAAAACTTTTACACATATCAAAATACCCTATACACATTATATAGCCAACTCCTAACAATCCATCAGCAAACAGATATTGCATTAAGATATACCTCTAGCAAATCTTGGTTTCAGGTACTTATTGAAATTTTGCTTAGTTTATGCTAACTCTTCTGTTGATATAAAAGATGATTTTACAGTGGTGTGAGTGCTGAAAGAAAAGGCCATTTGTTTTACAGCCTAATTCTCTCACTATCCACCTGTGCCGTGTGAATCAGAGCATGTGAACAAATTAAGTGTGTGTTTTGCATCCTTTCCCAGTCCATATTGGGCAAAAAGCAGTCTTCAAGTTTGTAAGGCTTCCTCTCCTGCATCTTGCCTTTTCAAATGAATTGATTTTTTTCATGTGAACTTTTATGGGTCCTCTGAACTTCAGCTATATTTATTTGTAGATGTAAATGAAGAAACACTTATTTCCAAGCCAAATAAGTATAATTTTAGGTCTAAGTATACTCCAGAACCCTCCTTTAAGTCCTGATAATTAAAAATTAACACTTAATAAAAAAGTGTTTGTGGTTGTCACAACAACCCACCTGTTCAGAGACCAGAGATCATATATGCCTCAGTCATGTGAAACTAAGATGAATCAGAGACCAGAGATCATATATGCCTCAGTCATGTGAAACTAAGAAGAAAAAGCTGCAGTTAGTGTTAACCATACTTCCTAAGCTTAGTATACATTAAAGATTTGCCTTAAAATTAATAAAACTCTGAAAGCAGCTAGAAATGAAAACTGACAGTAGAGGTCTGAAAGACTCTATTAGGGCATTTCTAACTCGACATAAAAGATATTCTTAATGATGAAGCTGAATCATCTAAGAATTACTGAAGTTATTTAAACTCTATATTTAGAAAACATGCATGTACTTTAGGAATACTGCCATCACAAACAGTTAAACATTTATATTGGCTCAAATAGTAAACTCTAGTTAACTGGGAAACACATTTGTTTGAAATCCTTCATTCTTCATAATACTAGGTAAATGAAGAATTGTTAGCCATAGTGTTTTTAAAAAATCAAGAGGGTCATATAGAAAATAGAATGCAATCCTCAAGGCTTTTTATAAAATAATACCCTAAGAGTATAAAGGTATCTACAAGATTAAAATTGACAAACTGCCTTCCTAAAAAATCATATTACCAATGGCAGGAAGAGAATCTCCTGCATTAGCCAGAGAACTATAAAGCAGCTGAGCCTTAGCAGAGATCATCAGTGCACTGGAGTCAGAGGGAAACACCAGGAAAACCTACATTCTGCAAATTATTTCCCATTGTGTTTTACTTCAACCTAATTCTATTATTAAATATAACAAAATAGAAATAACAAATATAAACTCCTTTTCATTAATGTCCTATAACTAAACAAAATATGACATATTTAAACATATCTCTTCAGCAAAAATAAAACAAAACCTCTTAGTTTTTCCTATGTTCTTCAAACCTATAAAACAGTAAATGTTATTTCAGTTTAGCTAACAGTATATTTAAAATACAATAGAATAAAGTACACTGTCTTGATTAAAAATTTCAATTCATCTTGAAACCACTGGGGAAGAAGTTTTCAAAATCTTGAGGTGGAAGGAGTCTCTGGAGACAAAAGCACTTATTTGCCCATTCAATTTTCAGTCTAGTCAGTGATTCAAGTTAAACTGATCAAAACTAGTCAGGCAGCGCTGATTTTCAGTCTGCTGCTATAGTGACTGCTGAACAGGGCAAATTTGCTCACTAGCCCCATCCAGTACCTTTGATTAGTAATACTGATCAAAAGTTCTGCATGTAGCTCATAGATAATGAGTGTGGATTCTTTAGTGTGTTCTGATAGCCACTGTTACTTCTTTGTACTTCTTTGAGTCTTTACATCTCCTCCTGCTACATTTTAAAGCATTTTTATAGTGTGTAGTGTGGCCTAATAAAGTATTTTTATGGCAAAAAAAAAAAAAAAAAAGATGAGCATGTAGCTCATAGATCATGAGCCACATGCTGAACTTTAGATCAATGGTACTAAGAGCTAAATAGGATCCCCATAATTTATTTTCAAACATAAAGAATAAAAATGGACATTTAAACAAGTTAGGGATATTATATCAAATTTAAGACTAGTGCTACTATCTTTAATAGTCAATTTAATAACAAATGTATAGCATGCCACAGTAAAAATTATTTTTCTTATTAAGGAAAATTTATCTTAATTTTTTTTTTTTCCGACAAAGTCTCACTCTGTAGCCTAGGCTGGAGTGCAGTGGCATAATTAGGGCTCACTGCAGCCTCGACCTCTCAGGCTCAAGTGATCAATCCTCACACCTCAGCCTCTCAAGTATCGGAGACCACATGTGCATGCCACCATGCCTGGCTAATTTTTGTGGTTTTTTGTAGAGATGGGGTTTCGCCATGATGCCCAGGCTGGTCTCGATCTCCTGGATTCAAGTGATACTCCTGCTTTGGTCTCCCGAAGTGCAGGGAATGTAGGCATGAGCCACTGCACCTGACCTAGATTTTGCTTTTGTGCTTTCAGTTATTTCTAACCATGTTTTACCTATGGGCAAATCTCAATTGTGAGAGAAGTCAGCATGTAATTGAAAAATGGCAAATAAATGCCTTATATTTTAAAACAGTATACTCTTTCTATGCATCTTTCCGTAGCTATTTCTTAGAGGAAAAAAAACCCAAGAGCATATCCAGGGGACTGGTAAAACAGTCTACAGTCAGAGCGCACGGGAATTGAGACATTCCCATGTGTTTCTGTGACTTACTCTTCTTTGCATATTTTTCACCAGTAGGATTACTGCAAGGGCTAATATCATTTACTGTTTGACAAACAATAAAAATAGAGGCAAAAGAGTCTTTGAACAAAAATCTTTGTGACGATTGTGAAGCTTCCTAGAAAGTTGGTGGAGGAAGGCAGCTTTATAAAGGGCTTCTCCTAAATGCCTTGGGAAAAAAAATGACAGCATCACAAAATTAGAGAAAGTACAGTTAGGGGATCTCTCGGGATATGCAGAAAAGCAGCCACAAAAATATGTTAACGGCAATAAAAACCCCGCCACAGAAATTTGCATTTAATTGAAAAGTCAACCATATAAAATATGAAAACCTTTGTTGAATTATAAAATTATATTCCAAGTTTTTTGAAAACTTCTGATGAAACACCTACAGCATTTTGGTGTTGAAGGAATGATTCTAAGTTCTTTGGAATGTTATCTCAAGAAACAAGGGAACTGCACCAGTGCAACATTTTAACTTTTCAATCTATATTTTTACCTTTTGGGAAACAGAGCAGCAAGAAGTTAAAAAGAGTTGACCCCAAAAAATGTACAGGTAGATAAGCCTTCAAGTAGCAGCCAAAGAAATACTCAGCATTTCAAAAGCTTCTTAAATGTACAGTGGTAAGAAAATATTTTGGTGTTCTTGATGTCCACAAGGCAAAGAATTTGTATGGAAAACTTTACTCTGTTAGGGTAATGTTTTGAGCCTTTAGATAATGCTACTTTAACTGAAATGAAAATCTTTGATGATACAGTTTCTAAAACTGTAATCCTTATTGATTTATACATCTCTTTTTTATGTAGGAGACACAGCAGTTAGAGAAGTTTTTGAAGAGACTGGTATAAAATCAGAATTCAGGTCCCTCCTGAGTATTCGGCAACAGCACACAAATCCTGGAGCTTTTGGGAAGTCAGATATGTATATCATCTGCCGCCTAAAGCCATACTCATTCACTATAAATTTTTGCCAGCATGAATGCTTAAGATGTGAGTGGATGGATCTCAATGACCTGGCCAAGACTGAAAATACAACTCCTATCACCAGCAGAGTTGCTAGGCTGCTGCTATATGGGTACAGAGAAGGGTTTGACAAAATTGACCTGACTGTGGAAGAACTTCCAGCAGTTTACACAGGCCTGTTTTATAAACTCTATCACAAGGAACTGCCAGAGAATTATAAAACTATGACAGGAATTGATTAAATTCACATTTGTATGTTTAGAAACATGTAGACTAACAAATGACAGAAATAGTGGACGTTTGGGATTAAATATCTGACTGTAATTTTCTAATAGACATGATTTTCATGAAGAAATTTTGTTTCTAAATGTACACATTTTTAAATCCTCTTTTCAAATAAAGCAAATGCATGAAAAAGATCATTGCTCTAGGTAAGCTTCACTGGGTAACAGCAGATGCTATATAAAAGGGGGAAGGCTATACATTTTTAAACAATTTTTGTTAGTTTTCTTCACTGGGACAATGGTTACATATTTTATTACTGGATAAAAAGTTGTTTGACCAATTATCTAAACTGAGCTGTACACATTTATTTTCTTTTTCTCTCATTAACAAATTTCTAAAATATACTTCTTTCATGTGAAATGAGATTAGACATGGCCATTAAAATCAGCTCTTAGCAGACATTGGAAGAAAAAGTATAGCTTTCTGCCCAGGTCCTGTTTTGGATCCAAGTTTATACTGCCCAGTTCGTTTCAGTGCCACATACCAACTGGTGTATTTCCTTGATCGGTAAGTATTGTAGTTATTAGATTCCAATCGTTCAAAAAAGAAACACTCGTCCGTAACACATTTCTGAAAAATAAAGGAAGAATTATTATTATTACACTTTTCATCTGAAATATTTATGATAGTACAATGGCCAGTCTGCTCAACCAGCAGCAGTGGTATTCGGTTCAGCAGAGCAATCAAACTAACAAGATTCAGTGGGCCAAAATATATATGACACAGAGTAGCTCTGAAGAAGGATGCAGACCAGGAACGCAGCATGTCAGCAGGACAGCATCAAGCATGTCTCTTCAGTAGGAGTGCAGAGATCATTCTCCAGCTCCGAAACAGGTCAAGTGTTAACACAAGGAAGGACATGCCTAGTAAGAAGCAACACACTATGGGAAGCCCAAAGCTATAGCTTCTAGCTGTATTTATGATCCATCCACACCCCTCCCAGTTCCAAGGCAGGTTCCCAATCAGGGGTCATTCTTACTTTTTTCAGGGGTACAGTAAAGCAGTAGTAGAAGGCTAACCCAGTGTAATCTTTCCATACAGAAGGAGGTTTATTAATACTTGACTCACAAACAGAATTAATCGCCCAATTTTTAACTAAAATTTTTAAGTGGCTAATGTTGTTTTAAGGCATAATAAAGAATAGTTTATGTACAGAAAATAGATAGTGGTATATAATACGAAAAATAATATTGGAACATTATATTACATATGATTAACAATCTCCAAATACTATTAGACAATGACAAATAAGTAATGATCATGTTGATTCCCGGCAGTCTCCTTCTTGAAGGATAGACTTTGCCTTTTAATTTCAATTCAACTATTTATTAGAAAAAAAGGATAGCTGGCTTTCAAATAGACCTGGAAATAATACTCCAAGTAATGGAATCTAACAGCTACCACATTATTTAAGATACATGTTCAAAAAGCAACTGTGGGCCAGGCGCGGTGGCTCAAGCCTGTAATCCCAGCACTTTGGGAGGCCGAGGTGGGTGGATCATGAGGTCAAGAGATCGAGACCATCCTGGTCAACATGGTGAAACCCCATCTCTACTAAAAAATACAAAAAATTTAGCTGGGCATGGTGGCGCGTGCCTGTAATCCCAGCTACTCAGGAGGCTGAGGCAGGAGAATTGCCTGAACCCGGGAGGCGGAGGTTGCGGTGAGCCGAGATCACGCCATTGCATTCCAGCCTGGGTAACAAGAGCGAAACTCCGTCTCAAAAAAAAAAAAAAAAAAAAAGCAACTGTGAAGACAGGGTAGCACTGACGATATCTCCTAGGGGAAAAATCAATTTATTCACTTCAAAATAAAAAAAATCATTTTTATAATTATGGTTGTGTGTGTGTGTGTGTGTGTGTGTGTATGTGTGTATATATATATATAAACAGATTTACATATGTTTTCTATATGTTTATAATTCTATATAGAGAGAGAATTATAAACTTATCTAAACACATAAATATAAGATGTATACAGAGGAATATAAATATATGGTTTTATATTAATACTACATTCTGGGCTGGGCATAGTGACTCACACCTGTAATCCCAGCACTTTGAGAGGCTGAGGCAGGTAAATCACAAGGTCAGATGTTCAAGAACATCGTGCCCAACGTAGTGAAACCCTGTCACTACTAAAAATACAAAAAATTAGCCAGGTGTGGTGGCAGGTGCCTGTAATCCCTGTTACTTAGGAGGCTGAGGAAGGAGAATTGCTTGAACCTGGGAGGTGGAGGGTGTAGTAAGTCGATCACGCCACTGCACTCCAGCCCAGGTGACAGTGCGAGACTCCCTCTAAAAAAAAAATACCACTTCCAGTTTATTTCTATATGCTCATATCTAGAAGATTTCAGGTTTGGAAAAACCCACATTAAAAAGACTTGAACCCTTTCCCAGATTCTATGATTCTAAGATAAGGCAAACAATGGCACAAGTTGTGACAAAAGCAAACTGACAAAACAAGGAAAAGAGCTGGCATAACAAAAATGAAAAGTAAAGCCTGGGAAAGAACCAAAAGTGACAAATTTGTCTCAGCCATCTAAAGTAAGGGTACGATACTAGATCCTGTAATCTTGTAAGAATTTTACTGGATATTTACTTGGTTTTAATATCTTGACCACTGTTAATTGGATTTTTTAAAGACTGAAATACAAACTTAACTAATTTGCCCATTATGTAATGTTACTAAAACTCAATTCTTTATAATGCCAATAAATCACAGCCTTACAGAGAGGCACACATTGACAGGACCCAGCTATATGATACACATGAGTGTCTTGTGCTGTTCATAAAGATTCAAATGTAAGAGTGAAACACCTAAACCTGCAATAATATAGACCAACATGTTCCAAATCCAATACTTTTACTCTACCTCTAGTGAAATTTAGTGCCCCTCTCATGTGAACTGAAGTTAACCTGTATTACTTTATTCTGTCATCTTCATTGCCATTGATAAAAAAAAAAAAAAAACCCAACTTCCCTTTTCTCTATTCCAGGTTTAAGATCAGGAATAGAAGTGGAAGGGAAATAAAGAGTGAAAGGAAAATTCATAATAATCATAAAGACACCATGAAAGGTCACCATGGAGCTTCACAGGCCGATTCCCCAGAGGTAAATTTAAACAACAGCATTTGGTCAGTTCATTTGTTGGTGTTCTATCAGCTTCCCGGATGCCCCACCTTGCTAGCTGGCACTCCCTACAATGCTTGGCCTACTGGAATACTAACCATGCCAATAATGTTTGCCTTTTCAGCCAGTTCCTAATATTTCAGAGAAAAGAAACAGTACCAGGAACTAAGTGGATACATGATAGAACCCACAACTTACTTATGTATTACCGAAGTTACTTCTACCTTTAGGGAAAAAAAAAAAACCAGTGGAAGGAAGGAAAACTGACATCTATGCTGAATGTTCAGCAATGTAAATTTAGTAAACAACTGTTTTGCTCTTGAAAACAAACTGCATTTTTAAAAAAATGAGTAGTAGGGCCAAAATTTAGTTCTCAAGGAAAGTAGCCGTTTAACAGCGCAGTATAAATACAATTTTCAATTCTCTCCATTCCAAGTTTCCAAATCATCTTCAGTAACTGTGATCTCAGTGTTCCTACTAAAAACTGGTGCAATATAATTTTATTAATCTTTATAAACATATTTAAAGAACTCTTTTCCTATTCTCCATGTTTGCTCACCATTTGAAACTTCAGAAAAAAAGCAGTGTTCAGAGGAATGCCACCACAAAGAAAGTGGCTTCTAAGGGCTTATAACAACTTGTACCTTGTCTCCAAGGCCTTATTTTATATAGGCCTAAGAGCTGAAAAATCCCTTAATGCATGATTATGGACTGCTTTTATGCATATAATTTTCTTGAAAAATCACAAAAATATTTTAAGATGAGTATAATTATTATATGCATTAACAAATTAGGAATTTAAAACGCAGTGCTTTTGGTGACATTTCAGATTTTGGATACCTTCTGCCCTTGTATTTACTTGATACCTTTATATCAAATTAAGTTTTCTTTTATTTGTTGCTTTTTTTTAATTGAAGAATAATTTAGAGGTATAGGCAGCACAAAGATCAAATAATACATTTATTCATTCAATCTATATATTTTTTTCTTCTAGGCATCTAGGACACATCAATGAATAAAACTGCACAAGATCCCTGACTTTATGCCACCCAAATTCTAGCTGGGGGAGACACACAATAAGCAATAAGCATAAGTGAATAGATCATATTCTATTTTACAATATAAGAAAACTGAGGAAAAAGTAAAGCTGAACAGGTTAAGAGGGACTGGGAGTGGTGGGGGTAGAGGCTAGGTGCAATAATAAATAGCACGGTCACAGTAGGCTCCATTGAGAAAGTGACATTTGAACAAATACTTGAAGGAGATGAAGGCATTAACCATCGAGATATCAGAGAAAAACATTCCCATCAGAGGAAAAGCCAGTGCAAAAGCCCTACAACAGGATCGTACCCAGAGTGTTTGAGGGGTAACAAGTAGGCCAATGTGGGAAGAATAGCAGGAAATGAGATCAGAGAGGTAATGGGATGGGAGAGGGGGGAAGATCTCATAGTTTTGGAGGCTACTGTAAATATTTGGCTCATATTCTAAGAAAATGGAGAGCCACTGTAGGTTTTTAAGCAGAAAAATAACATGATCTGACATCTTTCTCTCTGATTATTCTGGCTGACAACACTACAGAGGGCCAAAAGCAGACTTAAAGAGACCAGTTAAAGGGTTAGTCAGTAATACAGGCAGAGAGAATGAAGAAGGTTCGGATTCATGGAGGCAGCAGTAGAAATGGTAAGGAGGTGCCTACTTTTGGACCTATTTTGAAGGTAGACTTAATAGGGTTTTCTGATGGATTGGTTGCATGGTATGAGAAAAACAGAGGAGTTAAGAATGGCACTGAAGTTTATGTTCTAGAATGATGAACTTGCCATCAACCATGGTGGGAAGGATATGAGTAGGAACAGATTTTATAAGAAAAGAATAATTCAGTTTTGTACATGTTGAGTTTGAGAGGAGTATCAGACATCCAAATGGAAATAATGAGTATTTACTGAGCACCTACTATGCAACGGACACATTGTTTAACTTTTCTTCCTTCTTTTTGCTTATGCTAATAACCACAGAACTAGAAATTGAAAAGTATTATTTTATATAATTAATAAATTAATATTATTATAATTATATAATAGGAAGGTGTGTTATATACAATAATGCCAATAAACCAGCATTCTCAAGTCTAAAAGGCATGAAATCTAAAAAAGAAATGTAGATGTATACATATGATAGTGATATAAATTTGTCATGTGTTAGTGATGGGCAATGCCTCAAGGTTCCCCCGGAGGCTGTCCACATAAACCAGCTTAGTTTAAGGTTCTGTAAGAGGGGCCCAATCACCATTTATTGATATTGATAATGATGCTAATGATTTTAAAGACAGTGCTAGCAGTTTGACCCCTTGTAGGGAGTATTTGAATAGGGCAGACTCTAATGTAGCATGAAAAAGCATAATCAACACTTTTAAAAGTTTGGTTTTCGTCTGGATAGTTAATT